GGAGGAGGAGGGGGGAAGGGGGAGGGGGAGGGGGAAGGGGAGAAGGTGGAGGAGGAGGAAGACAGCCCCACAACACAGCACGGCCCAACCCTGCCCCCCTCCCAGGGCACTGGGGGGCCGTGAGGCAGCGGAGGGGCTAGTGGTCACTACCTGTTCTGCAGCCTTTCTCTTTTCTTCCCTGGCACAGGTGCCAACCTCTCTGCACAGCGAGCAACCAGACTCGCTGCTCCTCTCCACCTTCTCCCAGCAGCCAGCGACCCTGGGCTACGCCCCACCGCCCCCTGTGCAGCCCCAGCCCACACGCCCACCGCGCAGGGTCAGCCGCGTGTCTGAGTCGTCCAGCCTCCAGCAGCCGCCCCGGTAGTGCCCTGGCCCTGGAGTCAGAGGCTATCAGCTTTAACTGATGGACGAGGGAGGTGATCGGAGACCAGGGCAGCAGTCTGAGCTACAGCCCTGGATCCCCGGCACCTGCGTACATTTCAGAGCTCCTGGATGTGCAGTAGATGGCCGTGTTGCCGTGCTTTGAGTTCCTCGGGCACCCTCTACAGCCATACTGGATGGAACTGAGTGCCTAGGTAGGTGGCAGGACTCAGTTTACCTGCAGAGAGGGCACCCTAGCTGCCTTCCTGGAAAGTGCACTGGTTACTCCACAGAGTGGCCCTGTCCCCATGCCCTAGCTGGCCTTCACTGTCTCAATCGTCTTTCTTTGCATTGGAGAAGGACTGGGTCCAAGATCTGTTGCAGAGAGAGAATAAAGAGATTATTTTTCATTATTTTTAAATGGTTGTTTTTGTTTTAATTTGCACTGCTGCACCGAGGAAATAACTTAGGCACTTTCTGTTCTTAAAAATAATGTCTCATGACTTTACCTGGAGCCCACAGTGATAAACAAGGCCGCCAACCACATAGCAAGGCAGGTTGTTCTTAGCCAAGCCATAGACCCACCCCCTGCAGCCCTCCACCCTCGTGGAATGAAGGTCTCCAGCCACGCTCTACGGCACTCCCCCCACGCGTAACACTGGACGATTCCCTGTTTACTTCCTTGGTTGCAACTACAAAGGCGGACTCCAAGCAAAGCACAGTCTTGCAGCAAATGCAGAATCCTGTAGAGAACTCTGAGAGAAAGTGTCCCAGGCCCGGCCCCCACCCCAGGGGCTCAGACCCCAGGAGCCCGCCTTAAGTGAGGATGCTGCGTCTCTACCTATTCTTCATGATGATTCCAAGAATTGGGTTTTTCCTTTTCACATGCACTTTGCTTTTTTTGTATGTTTTGTTGGGATGTTTCTAAAGAAAAGATTTTATGTAATTATAAGAGGAAGTGTAGTGAATTGTACAGCTGTTGTAATAATTACCTATTTCTATATAAAATAAAATTGTATGGATTATGTGTAAATTATTTTGTATCGGAGACGCCAGTTCTTTTCCCAAATATACAAATATAAAAAGTTTTCTTGTGTTTTTCTGTGAGTGGACATTTTGTAATAAATTAACAAGTTTGTACAACTTCCTCTGTCCTTTGTCATACATCCATGCATGCATATTTCACCTGGAAAACTTTATTTCAAGATGTCTTGAGGATAAGGATTTAGAAATGGTATGTGTCCGCTTTCCATTACAGTGACAAAATAGCAGATAATTGAGGGAGAAAGACTGGGTGTAGGGGCTGAGCTCCAAGGTAGACTGCTTGCCTAGCAAGGGCTTCCCAGCTCTGGAAAATTAGAAATAAAAGCCGGCATGGTAGTACCCGCCTGTATGCTCAGGTACTCAGGAGGCTGAGGCAGAAGGGTAACAAGCCCGAGGCCAGCCTGCACAGCTTACTTAGGAAGAGCCTGGCTCAACACAAAAGCGGGGAGGGGAGGGGCTGGTGAGATGGCTCAGTGGTCTAAAGCACCTACTTAGAACAAGCTTAGCAAAGCACAGGGACCGCGGTTCAATCCCCCAGCACCACATGCCAGCCCGCCCCGCCTCCTGGTGGGCTGAGCTGGCCACACGCACACACACACACACACACAAATAAAAAAAATTAAAAAAAAAAAAAGCGGGGAGGGATGTGTTATCACAATGATAAGAGAGCTTTCCTAGCATATGTGAGGCTCTGGGTTCAATCCTGTGTAGAATACAAAAATAATACAAAAGGGAGAAAGGCTTATTTTGGACCACCCTGTCAAGGGTTCAGGCCATGGTCTCCTGGTCCTGGCGCTTCTGGCTCCAAGTGGCACAGTATGTATGTAGCCGCAGGAGCCAATGGCAGCCAGGAAAAGAGAAGAGGCGGGACCAGGATTTAAATAGCCCTCCAAGGACACGCCCTTGTTGACGTCACTTCCTCCAACTAAGCCCCGCCTCCCAAAGGTTCCAAGGCCTACACATGCTACCAGCCTTCAACTAATGGGCCTGCCGGGTCGCTCCAGATGTGAACTGTAGTACAGTGGAAACAAGCGGTGCACTAAGTCAGGTAATGTAAGGTTTGGAACTGTGACTGTACTGGTCTATCTAGTTCCTGGTCTTGCAGAAAGACAATGTTTCACCCTAGAATTGACAGCAAAATAAAAATAGAAAAATAGTTCCTGGAAACATCTTGACCTTGTAGGTTCTCTATGGAGATGACCAAAACATTTTGTCCCAAAGCATCCTCTTGATGCCTGTAATTAAACTCACCCACGCGGAGATCCTGTGGGGCACGTGGGTATCTATGTGTGGCAGGGTAGGGTGTCTGCATGCAAGGTGTGAGTGGGGACATCCACCCCTCCTAAGGCTCAGCATGCCACTGTGAGGGTGCCCTGGTGCCCGGGGCTCCCTTTCCAAACGCAGTGCCGACGAGAGCTACCATCCTTTAATTGCTCTGATACTAGAGTTCTGGGCTTCTACCTCTTCCTCAATTAAATGAGCAGTTCTCCGTTATGTGACTAGGGCTCTGGAACTTTATTCCATGGGAAAAGAAAAGTCAAATATTTGTTTGAACTAGCAACCTTTGCTCTTTGAAGGAACTGGAAAATTTAAGACCAAAAAGCCCTTATGAAACTAGATTCAATATTTTTTAATTCAAAGGTTTAGAGATACAATTTTTTCTGTAAAAGAATTTGTATATTGATTTTCTTTGTATCAGACTCCTAAGCAGAACAAGATTTTACAATGGACAGAGCCTATTTTTTGTGGTAGGATTTTCTAACTGGAAGTCATTAAAAGAGGGTGGAGTATAGCACACCACTGATTTAACGTAGTTCTGCCTAAAGCTTGCACATGTTCAGAATTTGGATAAACTCAGAAAATTCTTAATGTGCAGCATTTCTCTAAGCCCACATATCTGGCAGTTTAATCCCTAAACTTTTGATTCATTAAACTTCGCTCATTAGAAGGCTATTTTGCAACACTGTCCTAATTCCAGAAAAGCCATGACCTTTCTCTTTGGAAAACTGTAAAGTCTTGGCTCAAAAACCAATAACTGAAACATGAACTCTGGAGAACACTTTCAAGCTTAAGATGTTTAAAACTAACAAATAAAATGCAGCATCTTCTGTCTCTAGTGACAACTAAAGTTCATTAAATTAATTTTACATTTTTGTTTATACAGGCAACGTGGCCAACTATTAGGCAGCTCTGAGCGCTGCACTTTGGCTAAGTGTTCTGCTGACATTTGAGCATTTGGCACAAAGGTTCCTCAGCTCCTGTCTTCAACTTAAAGGTCTGAGTCAGGTACTAACATCCTAGAGAAACAACTAGTTTGGACGTTCCAGATACATGCCATTATTGGCTTTTGGGGCACACTCACATTAACTTCATACTATACAAATAAACAACTTTCCTTTTTTTTTTTTTTTTTTTGCAGAACCAGGAATTGAACTCAGGCCCTTGCACTTGCCAGGCAGGCACTTATTCTACTGAGCTCTCTCTCCGGCCCCAACTTTCCTTTTTCTGTAGAAAAAGTTCATTGGAAAAAAATAAACCAGAAAGAGAAAATTTTTCTTGTAGGATTTTTGCCTGAGCACTTTTTTATTTGGCTGGTTGGGTCTTGTGAAGACAGGGTCTCCCTAGGTAATTCAGGCTGATCTTGACCTATGGAGCCCGGGCTGGCCCTTCAACTCCTGGAATCCTCCTGCCTTAGCCTTCTGAGTGTTGGGATTATAGGTGTGCGACAAGCACTTTCAGGCATGTCTACTGTATTGACTTCTTTTTAAAAGCTTTTTTTTTTTTTTTTTTTTTTTTTTTTTTGTGGAACTGGGGATTGAACTCAGCGCTTATTCTACTGAGCCATCTCCCCAGCCCCAACTTACTCTTTTTAAGAATTCTTTTTTGCTTTACTGTAAGCATGGACTCATAACCTTTTATGAACTCAGCTTTTCCCTGGCCCCATACGGAACCACAGGACACTGCTCTTTGAGCGCCTGCTTCTCCAGGCCTCTTTGCTGCCACTAACGTGCGTGCAGTGGCTCCTCTTCGGAAGTTCTACTGAAGCTTCCTGGAGCTCCACCCGGCCTGATGTTTTCAAGGAAACCCCCTCCCGCCCCTTAGGCCTGGACATCCGAAAAGGACTAGAATGCAGCCTGCTTCTTTCTCGCGGCCCCCACCGGAAACAGTCAGATCGTGTTGTAAGTATTCTCTGGCACTCACTAGGTGCGGGTGATTAGCACAGCCCACAAACACGGAGAGCTACAGAGAAGGTGTCCCTAGTAAGTGGACTCTGGCAGTCACTGGCCTGCTTAACCTTGGGAGGAAGCCTAGTGCTCAGGCTAAGGTAATGCACGATCCAGCTTGCTTTAGGCAGCTGGTGTTTTACCATCCTCATTATGCTTCTCGGCTCTGGCCACCTGGGATTACTGAAAAGGATTTTGCTTTTCAAAGAAGTGGGGTGAGAGGATCAGATGCCCGACCCCCCCCCCCCCCCCGCCCCTGAGGACACGCGGGAGACCCAAAGCTGCACCGCCCAGCCTGCAGCCCAAGGACGCGGAGGCCGGGGTTCTCGGCACGTAGGCACTACGCCACTGAGCTACACCACCAGCTCAGCCCCGAATCTGCCTCCTCAGGTCCCGGCTGAAGTCCCTGTTAGCAGGCTAACGGGGACGTGCCTGGACCTGGGCGTTTTCCAAGCGATTAAGCGGACCCTCTCGACTGGCAAGATCGGGCTGCGGGGTTCTGGCTGCGTCCTTCATCCCAGGCCGGCCTCCGGCAGCCGTTGCGGTGACTGCAGATGGAACGCAAAAAAGGGGGAAGCAAAGAGCGTCTTCTACCCCGGCTCCTACTCCCATCCAGTTAGGAGATGGGTTTTGGTTTTCTGGGAAGACAGAGTAGAGAAAAGGCCCGGTACAGCTTTCTCCCACCTACGCCAAAGCCCACAGCGCTGGAATGGATTGACTATGCGCGCCAGCCAGGTCGTACGCCCCGACTGCGCAGCCGCAGCCCGCCCAGGCCCCGCCCCCGAGGCCGCAGGCTGCTCCCGGCGCGCCCCTCACAACGTCACGAAGCACCGCCCCTTTCTCTAGCCACTCCTTCTATCCCCGCCTTCAAGCGACCCGGAAGTTATACTTGCAACCGCGGCCTTTCGTCCCACAATCCACCGCGCTCTTCCTTTCCAACTTGGGCCCGGCAGAGTGAGTATGGTTGGGGAGTTGAGATTTGGGGAATCCGGCTCCATCTTCCCCCCGAACAGGCCCCGGGGATCTGCCTTCCAGGGGGAGGGAATTCGTGCTGCGTTAAAGGACTCCGGAGCCTGGGAGGGAAAGTGGCGGGGCTTAGAAAAGCCGGGGCCGCCGTGGTTTCCTGATGCCTGCTTTGGTGGTGCGCGAACCTGGGCCCTGGCCCCAGGCCCCCGGCCCGGCTTTGCACCCGGCAGCATTTGTCCAAGCCGTCTGTGAGGACCTGGTTCGGGCTTGTCTCGCTTTGCCTGTTGAGAACTTCCCTCTCTTGTGCATTTAGATGGCTCCTGCAAAGAAGGGTGGCGAGAAGAAGAAGGGCCGTTCTGCCATCAACGAGGTGGTGACCCGAGAGTACACAATCAACATTCACAAGCGCATCCACGGAGTGTGAGTGACCGCGATCGGGCTCGCGAGCTCGGCCCGCGTGGGTTGCCCTTAGGACCCCCTAGTTGTTGAGGCGGGGTCTAGACATTTCACGTCGCGGATTAACGAGTTGGGGGGTTGAAGCGCCCAGCTGTGAGGTTAGCGACTGGAAATGGGGGGTGGAGTGAGGATTGTGAAAGAGACCGTTTTGGAAAACTTGGGTGGGGATTCCACGGGGACACGCCAGTCGTGAGTTTTGTTTGTTAAACCTGTACAGCCTAAAGAGTAAAAGTGTATATGAAGGAAAGCAGACTGGTATTGCAGCGGGGAAGTGAGCCGCTTAGGAAGCTGTCCCGTGCGGTGTCCTGTGGACCGCCGGGCTTGCGCCCGAAGTGAGAGCGCCGGAGACAGTGTACGTTGTAGGCCTCTGCGAATTGGTGATTCTGTGCCGTGAGGCGCCTGTAAGGAATGATTTTTGAAAACTGATTTTCTACCGTTGTGTATTTCGATCTTAGTTTTGACAAATGTCTGGGTTTGGTTTTTTTTTCTCATGGTGTTTATGGGTAGAAATTTAAGTATTTTATTCAGTCTGTAATTTGTGGAGCAGATTGGTCCTGGAACTAAGATCCAGTGTTTTTGTGTGTTTATGCTACTGTTAAGTAACCCTAGCCCTGCCTGTATGTGGGGCGGCACAGGCACCTCACCAACCCTAGCCACTGCTTTGGGCTTTGCAGATGCTTCAAGGAACCAAAGACCTTAATCTCTAGTTACAGTAGAAAGCAGGCAACAAGTCCTTGGCCTGTGGAATATGCTAAGCTGGGGAGAGGAAGCCGTGGCCTTACCCAGTGATAGCATCAGGGGGTGCAAAGGTTTAAATATCGCCCTGCTGTTGACATCTTTATTTGGGTAAACATCTCTGACTTAATATGGCCCAAACCCTGTTCCGGCTGTCTGTGTTGGCCAATTCCTCTCCTGTGAGCTTCACCTTCTGAGTGCCTCCTGGTGTCCTTTTTTGACGTGGTGCATTCTCATTGCCATCCACTTCCTGTACACTGGCCGGCCTTCCTCTAGTACCTGATACCACCTCATGCAGTTGGTGGGTCAGCTGTGGAAGCTATGTGGTGAACAGGAACTTGCCTGTTGTGCTGGCTGCTGTCATTGTATTCTTTATTGCCATATACTTAATGATTGGGCGCTAGAAATAGGGGCTGGCAAGGGTAGGGTAGTGCTTAACCTTCTGAGCCTGTGGTGAAGTTCTGCATGTTTGGCATTTCTTAGTTAATTGAAAGAATAAAATCTAGTTGCGTCTGTCTCCTAGATTACTAGTACTGGATCTGCTTGGAGCAGATAGTAATACATGCATTCATGCCCTGGCAGCGCCTGTCCTACTTCCTGAGGGTGAGGAATCCACAGCATTTCAGACGTCATGTAGGTGCAGCTAGGTGATGAATAGTGTCAAGTGATGTGTTTGGTAGTGTGCTGTCTTGTATTGCTCTGAGGATGCTGTATTTACTTTAGTGAAAACGGATCACACAACTTCTTGTCTGAGTGTTAATGCTAGCTGCTGGCCATTGCATACTGGAGGAGAAAAGGCTTGTTTCTGCTTGAGTAAAGTTTTTTGTAAAGTCAAGGTACACTGTACTTTATATAATGTTGTACTTGTTTTCTGTGTGTGCATTTGGATCTTAGGGGCTTCAAGAAGCGCGCCCCTCGGGCACTTAAGGAGATCCGGAAGTTTGCCATGAAGGAAATGGGGACTCCCGATGTGCGCATTGACACCAGGCTCAACAAAGCTGTCTGGGCCAAAGGAATAAGGTGCCAGTGTTTCCTCTAGAAAGTGACCTGATACGGACATGCACTGCGTCTGCCAGTGGGCCCCGCAGTGGGCTGTGGGCCGAGGGCCGAGGGGAGCAGCACACAGAGCTGGGGAAGTGTCTAGAAGGCCAGGAGCTGCAGTGGTGGGGCGGGGTTCTAAACAGGGTGGGTGGGAGCTCTCCCCTCAGCCACGTAGCTGCCTAGGACTGGCTGAGAGTCGTGGAGGCTGCCATAACACATTCTGTCAGGCCTGTGTCCTGAAGTGACAGCATTTCCTGTCCACCTGGGTATATTTTCCAGGAGCTGAACTTGAGCATCGTTCCTGGCTCTGACTCCCCAGTGCTGGGATTCCAAGGTGGGGTGTTTGGGCCTGTGGCTGGTGCCAGCTACTGACAGGTAACACATGGTGTTCATTAGGAATGTTCCATATCGTATCCGAGTACGGTTGTCCAGGAAACGGAATGAGGATGAAGATTCACCAAACAAGCTGTATACCTTGGTAACCTACGTACCTGTTACCACGTTCAAAAGTAAGTTTCACTCCATTCCACAGAGAAAAATGTCTCCATTGTGCACAGCACAATGGCACGAAGCCACACTTAGGGCCCTGTTGCAGTTTTGATATATGGTCTCACTGAGCTGCCGTAATGCTTGTCATTTGGGGCTGCAGCCTCCCAGCATGCTGAGACTGCAGGCATGTGCCCACTGTGCCGAGTTTCCTAGGGAACCTCCAATAGGGACATGAGCTGATGGAACAATCATAACTTTTTACACTTTAGTGTGGGGGAACAGCAGACTACAGAACTGATGCCCAGGTTGTAAAAAGGTTACCCTGCAGCGCAGCTGCTCGTTTGACCCTCTAGAGACCCGTGCTGGGAAGTTCAACTACAGAGGAACGAGGGAGTGTGCACCCTGACTGGCTGTTGCTTCTTTTGCAGATCTCCAGACAGTGAATGTGGATGAGAACTAACTTGGAAATAAAATTACAGAACTGCCTTTGTACTTTGGTTTTCTTGTTTTAGTTGTGACATACTGTGTGTAAAGGCCACCCCCATTACGGGATTATCGGGTTTTCTAAATACTGTTTCCCCACCACCACCCTGGTTCACTTGGACAGGGCCTTGGCCCTCAGGCTTCAGGGCCTGCAGTTCTGTGGGTGTTCGCACTGGTGACTTAAGTGGAGCACTGCCGAGAGGTCTCCGCAGGTGGGGATGGAAGCGTGTGACACCGCAGGCAACATAAGGTGAAAAGACAGAGGCGATACAAAAAATTTATTAAAAACCATGGAGGCCAACATTGAAAGCAGTTTTGACACTTTTCAGAAGGCATATCCAAAGTGAATACAACCAAAAATATTAAAATGGTTTCAATTACCAGCATTGAAACAAAACTAGTGCAGAGAAAAAAAAAAAGTCAAAAACGATTGCACAGGTTGTGGCTGAGATCTGGGAAGCGAACGTGACTTGTCCTTCCTTGCCCTACGTGAAGACCAGAGCACAGGGTTTTCCTTGCTCTGCAAGGGTGATCCTTGTGTTACTGCATGACACCAGCATCAGAGCAGAAACACGCATGGTAGCAGGCTTGCTGGAAGCCAGGTCACCAGTCAGTGGAAGTGACAGTCCTGCACCACTGCCTGGTCAACTGATGATTTTCTTCAACAATAAATAGAAATGATTGGGAGTTCAGCCTTCCCAGCCAGCTTTCAGGATACCCAGTTTATGCAGTGTCCTTGACAAAGCCCAGGGTGACAGTGACAGCTGGGCCAACCTTTGCCAGGTAGACCCCACTGTGCACCAGGGAGTACCCACCTCTATGCATTGCCCAGCTTCAATTCAGGCTGTGACTGGCGGCTCATTTCAAGAGTATTGAGGCCATACTGATTGACCTTGGCGTTCTCAAGTTTGGATTTAATGTCTAGTGGCTTTTCAAAGAAGTTCACCAAGGACTGTTCCGTGAGCAGCGATGCTAGGATATGTTCCAGGGAGACTGTCCAGACCCCTTCCGCGGGGTCAGGAAACATCCGAGGGGCATCCTGGGTGGGCCTGCCAGGCTCTGTGAAGACGGAGTCCTCTGGAGAGGGGGCAGGGCCCTGCAGCTCCTCTGCACACTCCTGGGAGCTGCTGCCAGAGCTGCTGCTGCGCTGGCCCACCTCCCCGATCTGCAGCAGGAGGGTGGTGACTGTGGCGATGGCTTGGTACAGGTCGTTTTCTTGTGGGTCTTCATGGAACATGCTGTACAGAGTCTTACAGAACTGGATAAATTCTCTCTGGAATGAGAAAACAGTCTAATGTAGCAGCAGGGCCAGGAAGGAAGTGTATTTTTCAGATGTTACACTAAGGAAACGGGACTGACTACCTTTGAAGAGGAAGATAAAAGGTAATCTCTACCCTTCCCTCTGCATACTGCCTCCAGGGTTCTGTGCATGTTTAGGAGTGTGCTGTCTACATAGCAACCGTAGAGCGTGGGCCTGCTCAGCTCAGTTGGGTGCCTGGCAGAACAGTCTCCATCTCTGAAGAGCACAGCTCTACGGAGACGTCTCTAGGACACTTAAGATAGAGTTTGTAGGGATAATGTCAGAAACTGCTGAAAAGATGAGTAAACCTGGCACCTAAAAGCTGGAAAACAGCAGTGACATGTCTTAACTGTCCAGTGCTATCTTTTGAGGAATCTGAATGTAATGTATCACATCAGGACCAAGTGCAAGTGACAAAGCAAGGATTCTGTAGGGACTCACAGGCTGGGCTCAGCCCATCTGACAGACACCAGTGTGACCACTGAGCAAGGAAGCTCGGTGCTACGTGGCTCACTTTGTGGGCAACAGTGCTTGCTGGGTCCTACAGACAGATGGGAGAGGAGATGGGAACCACTGAAGGCTTCAGTCCTGAAAACATCCACCTGCCCCGTCATGGGTGGGTACTACAACTAGTCAGAAGTATTAGGGCAAACGTACATGCCCTCCCAATTCCAAGTTCCTTGGTCATGTTTGCGATGGGGAGGAGCGTTAATGCTGACAGGGCCGAGGAAGCATCTGTCTCGTACTCCTGCAGGGCAGAGTGCAAATCTGAAACCCGTACCCCATAGACAGCAGTCCTGCACAAGGCTTTGGGGCTGAGACTAAGGACAGGGTGCAACTCCAGGCACCAAAGCCAGACAAGCACTGCCTGCCACGTCCCAACACAAGGTCCCAGCACACCAACCCAAGTGACTTCTAAGTCCCACAGCAAAGGGCATTCCTAACTATAAGCCTACGTTTCTCAAACATTGGTTGAGACCCTTTTCTAATTAAACAACCCTACCAGCATTGTATAGCTTCATGTACTATAAAAGTAGTTTCTGGAAGATGCTCCAAGAGTTTGTACTGTGTGTCACGCAGCCAACAATTCTTGAGAGAGCGCACACTCATTTCTTTGAGGAAAGAAAACTATACCCACAGGAGCCCCAAATCTTTCTGACACCCTCAGAGAAAGTCATAACCTGGACAGAGGAACTGACAAAGCGCTCCAAGGAGTGAAGAACGTGACGGCCTGTTTCAACACAACGTTTGGCTCCCCCAAGTTACAAGATCCTGGACTGAAGATAAAAGCCCGAGGCACTGGGGTGGGGACGTCAGGGGGCCTGAGCTGGGTTATTCAGCACTGGACAAACAGTTCATCTCTTCATAGAGGAAAATTCACACCTGGCTCATTTTGGGCAACTCTTTCTCGGCTTTGTCTTTTTCTTTGGCTAGATCTCTAATCATCTGCTTCAGCTGCTTCTGATAATCAATGGCATCACCTTGAGACAAAGAACAAGTTGAAATTCAGTGAAGGCTACAAGGAGCACTGATGGGAGGTAGAAGGGGATGAGGAATTCCACTAAGCAAGTCCCACATGAAGTGCAAGGCCAGGGGCCCCTGCAGCAGTAGCTGCCCGTGTGTCCCACCCACATAGCTGGGAACCAGTAAAGGGGAGAAAGGAACAGTGGCGGGCAAGGGGCAGAACAGCAACACTTGTGCTCCCAGGTTTCTGGCTGGAACGGCGCTCTGGTAACTCCCAAGGTGTGGGGAGAGCCACGCAGCCGCCAGAGGACGAAGCGGCAAGGACGCGGCCACTGCACGAGGATTACGTGCCCTTGGACTTGCCGAACACCAGCGGCCTGGATGTGGACAGCAGAGGACTCTTCAATGGTGACTGGCTGTCCCGGTCATTTTCAGTGAGTGCTTGAAAGGAAAAAGATTTAAGTTGAGCACATATTCTGTCTAACCAAAACTGATGAATAACATAGCTTTGGGGGCTTTTTTTTTTTTTTTTAGGCCAGAAAGAATGAGAGGCTCAGCAGCTCCCAATCTGTGGGCCACAGACTGCATGTTCAGGAAGCCACGTGTACAGCGACCTGTCCAGATGCACAAGGAAGTGGCTCTTGTCCCAGATGTGCTTGTGCACTGTGTGACTAAAACATACAGATTCATAAAGGGACACTGTGCTGGCCGTGGTGATGATGCCCTTCTATAACCCAAGCACTTCAGGGCCTGGGACAAGAGGTGCACAGTGAGTTTGAGGCCACCCTGGGCTACAAAATTTATTCAAGGTCAGCCAGTCTTGTAGGGAGACCCTGTCTCATTTGCCAAAACAAAACAAAACATTGCTGAGTTGGCCTACACAAACATGCTGTCAGTTCCTAGTCTATAAAACATGAATAAGCACATATGTAAGGAACTCTAGCAACGAATAGGCTAGACCTCTAGGTGGAAGAACAATTGGTAATTAAACGGCTGCTGTCACAAACAGAGCTGTCTTGAAACATACTACAAATAGTGACATTGGAACCCTCGTACACGACTCGTGGAGAAGTAAAATGGTTCAGCTGCTTCGGAAAGCCATGCGGCAGTCCCACAGGAGGTTGCACGCAGAGCCGCACGTTCGGCGCCAGAGCTCCCACTCCTAGGCGCCTACCAGAGGGCACGGGGCGGCGCTCACAGCACCCTGGGCACGGGTGTCCACAGCGTGAAAACCAAGCCCAGAGGCCAGGTTTCCAGCTGATGAGCGCGCAGACTGGTGCAAACAGTGAGTGTCGCTCGGTACAGTGTGCGCTACAGCACGGGCCAGCCTTGACTGTCACGCTGAGAGAAGCTGTACGGATTCCACCCTCACGAAATGTGCGGAGCAGAGGCACTCACGCAGGTAGTCTTTCCAAGGCTGGGGAAGAGTTGGAGTGGGGAGCAGCCAAAGGACGGGGTGTTTCTTTTCTTTTAATCACTTATTTATTTGGTACAGGGTCTCACTCAAAGCTCAGACCCATAGTGACCCTCCTGTCTCAGCCTCCCCAGCCCTGGGATGACACCCAGTTTCGGTGGCCGGCTCAGCATGCCCAGCGCGGGGCTGGCACATGCAGTACCGGGTCCTTGTGCTTGCCAGGCAGGCACTCAGACCTCCGAGCTATCTCCCAGCCCAGGGTACTCCTTTTCAGGGTGATGAGAAGCTTCTTAGGTTACGGCTCTGCTCACACAACTCAGAATACACAGTAACTACTGAATGTATGTGCTGAATGGGTGACCTGAGTGGTACATGAACTACAGCTCAATAAAGCTACTATAAAATAACAGGGGTTAAGGGAATTTCATTTTTAAAAGACTAAAACTTAGGGTTGGTGAGATAGCTCAGCAGACTAAGTGCTTGCTTAGGCAAATGCAATTCCCAGGTACCGCATGCCGTGCCAGCCCTGCCCTGGGAACGCTGAGCCGGCGACCAAGTCCAGGCATGGTGGCACACGCCTGTAATCCCAGCACTGGGGAGGCTGTAAACAAGAGGATCAGTACGAGTCCAAGCTGTGTAGTGAGACCCTGTACCAAATACATTTTTTTTTAAAAAGGGGGGAAAGACAAACTTACTAGTGAGCATTGAGACTGAGAATAAATGAAAGGCAAAATTTCATTGTATGGCTCACCTGAGCCATTCTGGGAAAACTGATGCACCCTGAGACCAGATGCTAAGGGAAATAGACATGTGTTTACCTGCTGTGGTTCTGGGTGGAGAACGAAGTATACGTAAGGGCCGAGAGGTATACTACTGGGAAATGGGAAGAAAATGTTCACAGGAGAACAAGGGAGGGAGGGAGGGAGGGAGGGAGGGAGGGAGGGAGGACGGACAAGAAATAAAAGGGAATAGCAGAAAAAAATGGAAAGAGAACTTTTGTAAATAGGGGAAGGGAGGGGAGGGGAATGGGAAAAAAGGACAGCAAGATATCACATAGATGTGTCAGTTTCTAGGAGAAATGCTATCAGTATGTATATCTAAAACATACCAGAGTAAAAGAAGAAAATGGAAAAAAAAAATCACCAAATCCAATAGACAAAAAAAAAAATTCAGTTGTATTGAGCTGGCTGCTGGTAGTACACACCTGTGTCTCAGCACTAAGGAGGCTGAGGCAGGAGGATCACCCAGTCTGGGCTACACAATGAATTGAAGTCTGGCTTGAACTACATGATAAAACCCTGTCTTACAAATTCAAAAAAAGGAAGGAAAGGGAGGGATTAAGTTGTGATTCATGAAATTTCCACAAGATGGCACCAAAGCTCGGAAAAGCATTCTCAGGTTTCTGGAGAGGTTGGTTTTTCTTTTTGATGCTTTAAAAAAAAATTATACTTTATTAAAACAAAAATCTAAATACCTCATAATTTAGAGTTCTAAAATATAATGTTCAATCAACCCCAGTACACTGGCACTGTTGTCAAATTTTGCCATCCTCAATTTTTTTCCTACAATTAAATCCTTGCTGTCCCCAACTGCGTGATAAAACTGTAGAGCAGCCATCATGAGAATCTGCTCAAACCGAATGGCAGGCAAATGATAAAGCCTGAATGGACCAGGCTGGAAATGCACTTCCTAGATAGCAGCCACTGGCCCGACATCCTGTGTCCACAAGCCAGCCACAAAGTGCTCAAGGAGCCCAGAAGGCAGCCGGCATGGCCAAGGTGCACAGACGGAAGGACTCCCCTTCCACCAGCTCCCTGACCAACAGCCCTCAGGACAGCAGCTGTCTCGGTCCTGTCGGGGCCCACAGAGAGACAGCAGGCATCGGGGGGCTGCCCTGGGTGGAGGCACCAGGGCTTCGCTCCCCAGGGAGGCCGGTGCTGCATGGCCCACAGCAGTTAACGCCCTTTCCCGGGCCAGAGAGCAGCTCCACTAACAGTCGCAGACATCTGGAGCCCTGGCACTTGGAGGAGGCCCGGTGAAGTGTGTGGCCATGGCAGCGGGCCCAGACACCGCTAACAGAGGAACCCCCACACCAGGTCTGCCTCTCCACACAGGCATCAGTGGCCGTCACAGCCAGCAGAGGCTCGCGGCCTGGAAGCCACCTGTGGGATTTCACTTGTCCCCATCACAGGTCCAAGGAACATGTAAGGGAAGGTTCCTTGTTCTTGTTCCTATGTGCCTGTCAAGGTCAAGTTTTCAGCTTTTGGGGTTTTTTTGTTTTGTTTTGGTTTTTTGAGACTGGTCTTGATAGACAGTTTAGACTGTTCATGAACTTGCTTTGCAGCCCAGGCTGGCCTTGAACTCTCAGTGACCCTCCTGCCTCAGCCTCCTGAGGGCGGGGATTATAGAAATGCGCCACCATGCCCAGCTCAATGTCAAATTTAACTTCATAGCTTTCAAAACTACTTCCTTTGTTTCTGATTACCACGGCATAAAAGTGTCTTGCACGCTGGAAAATAATACTTCAAAAACAGTAGCCAGCCAGGCATAGTGGCACAGGGCTATAATCCCAGCACTCAGGAGGCGGAGACAGGACTGCTGCGTTCAATACCATCCTGGGCGACAAAGTGAGCTCAAAGCCATCGGAACTACGCAGCAAGATCCTGTCTCAGGAAAAGAAAGAGCGGCCTGTAACAGCCATCCAGCCCGGCCAGCACATCCTATGGCACGTTCTCAGCCCAGCGCCCAGCGTCCAGCGTCCAGCGTCCAGCTGGGCTCACACGCACGCTCAGGTGGCAGCTCCTCCTGCAGCCACAGCGCGGGAAAGCTTGTGGCCTGAACCCAAGTGAAATGTACAAAGCAAAACACTGCAGGGCAGTGCGCAGCCCTGGGCAAGGAAGGCATGCAGGCGGCCCCCTTCCTACCTGGAGGAATATGAAGCCTGTACAGCAGTTTGATTTTCTCGTTCATTTCTCCATTGTACATCGTATCTGCAAAAAAAAATGGACACTGGCTACCAGCGAGCCACTCCCACTTGTCAACAAGCACTCACTGAACAGTCACTGCCAGTCCCCACCAGGGTCCCCAGCTCCACAGCAGGTTAGAAATGAAAGTGTCAGAGGTGGCTGGTGGCTGTGCTACTCTGTAACCTCAGGAGTGTAGTCTGGCCTCAGATCCTTGTGAAGACTTATTTTAGGGACCTGGCTCCCAACACATGGCCACACACCGGGTGCCACGGAGAACAAATCTAGGGGAGCCTGAGCCCCTATCCCTACCCAATGAAGGCAGCCTTCGGGGAGTGAAATATAGAAATCCCAGCAGCATCAGGCCACGATGCTTGCTTGGTCCACAGACTTGCTGAGCCCACAGGTGCAGGAGGTCCCAGTCGTACCCAAGCAGCTCACAAAGGCCTTGAACTCCAGGAGCTGGTCCATGTTGTCATCCAGCAGCCGGAAGGTCCTCTCAGCCAGGATCTCCGTGTGGGCCCCGCAGGTCCAGGGCGAGAGCAGCAGGAAGAGGCGCGTGAACTGCCGGGCATCGATGCGGTACTGCTCGGCATAGGGCCTGCTGGGGTCATGGCGCAGGGCCACAGGCCCGGGCTGCACCCAGTAGCAGCTCAGCATGTGTTCCCGCTGCAACAGGAGGGGACAGGGTGTGACAGGGTGGCACCAGGGTCACCCAGGAAGGCCAAGGCCCAGCTCCGCCTCTGGAGGTGCTGCTCACTGGATAGGCAAGCTCTGGGGCAACCCAGGTGACAGGACCTCATCACACAGAGTCCCGACGCACACAGCGCAGCCCAGCAGAGGGCCCCTCCTGGCTCCCCAGTATGCCTACCTTGAATAAGTCGTAGAGCTCCTCCAGGTCCTCAGGAGAAAGCGAGACCTCCGGAATGACAACGCGGAGCTTAAGGAAGGAACAGGGAGGGAGTGAATTCTGGGCTGGGCTGGGTGCCAGATGCCGGCCACAGCGATCCACGTCCAAGGGCAGCATCTGCCCCCTGCAGACGCAGCGAGGGTGGCACAGCGGCTGTCAGGCCTTCGTCTTCTTCACCTGGTGCCTCCGGCAGAGGTTCGAATCCCACCCCCGGCAGGGAAGATGCTCTGCTCCCGCTCCCTTCTGCCAGCAGCCTGCATCCAGGCAACCTACACCCTGCGCCCTCCCCAACACTGCACAGAGGGAGGGGCCATCACAGTGTAAAGTGGGGAAACCGAGGCTGCCAGGCTGCCCTCTGACTCCAGGCTGCCAAATCCCAGGTTGTTTACACTGTGGCATCCCTATTCAGCGTCCAATTCCGTAACAAAGCAACATTGGTGCATGACACATGGCCCATGCCCCTCCAGGGCCTCTGCTTACCACGTTCTGCCTCGTGGTGTCCTCGTGTCCCTGGAGCACCCGGATCCGGTGCTTGCAGCGCAGGTGCTCAATCTGCTCCACGGACTGGTCCCCGAATTTCTGCAGGGACACCCCACCCCAGTGAGAGCTCTAGCATGCTGGGTAGGAGCAGCCCAAAGCAGCCCAGGACTCCCCCACAATGCCCATCCCCAGGGGCAAGGGGGCCCGAACATGGGAAGGGGTGCTGAGGGGGGCAGAGGGCGCAGAGGCTGGGCTCAGAGCTCCTGCACCTCGTAGGCATCCCGGATGAGGTCAGCGATGTCAGTCGCAGCATAGGGCTCCTGATCATCAGAGAAAAAGGCATGGTGGCTGCTGACCGGGGGCCCCGGGCTGTCTTCATTCTTAATGTGATCTAGAAATCTGAGCACACCCCCAGGTGAAGCCAGGTCCGCCTGCTAGGCCCCACAACACCCACTGCCCTCAGGGTGTCAGGCATGCCAGCTTGCACTCAGACGTAGCACCCGGGAGAAGGTGAGGGGGCCAGAGCAAAGCCAGGCCTGTCCATCTGGCTCTGGGCAGGAGTCCACTATCTTCTGCTACACTGAGGAGACTGCGTGGTGACTAGCACCAGGCTTCCAGCAGGCCGCGGGCTCAGCTGCCTGACCCCTCCCTCCCTGGTGCTCCCCAGCCTGTGCGCGGTATCTGAGAACCTGGTGCTCCCAACCTGTTCGAGGCCATTCTGAGGCCACGGGAGACAGGCTTAGCACTTATGGCCCTGCTCCTCCTGTGCTCTCACTTGGTGACAGAATGAGGGAGGATAGCAACTTGCATCCCACACAGGTGGCAGTGTCACATGGCAGTGGCTCTCAGGAGACCACAGGGTCACAGGTGCCAGAGCAGAAGACAGCTTCACAGTGCTGGCACGCCCACTGCCACTGCCTCCTCTGGCCCCCCGACTCAGCTGCCACCGCCTCCATCCCCGAGCCACGGGGCACAGCGCCGGGGCCCACCTGCTGAGGATCATCAGGGCCTGGCCGTCGTCCTTGCTGCTGCACAGCTCCTCGGCAGTGGCTTCCAGCACAGCCAGCCCCAGCTGGAAGATGGCTTTAATCCCATCATAGAAGAAGCAGTCCACAACATTCACGGCACTCTCCAGGGGCATGATGCTGAGGAACAGGGTCAGGAACCACGAGAGGGAGACAGACGCCAGGGCTGAGAGGTCATTCATGTGCTCCGCCAGCTCCGGCAGATGTCCCTTGATGAGCTCCTCGAAGACAGACTGGTCCACTTGAGCACCTGCAAAGGGAGCCCCAGAGCTGTGGAGGAAGGACTGACAGGAGGTACACCCAGCCTGAAGGAAGAGCTGCTGAGGTGTCCAGGATGATCAGAAAAGGACCCATGCTTAGTGCACAAAGTGTTTGACATTTTGACCAAAGTGACTCAATGGGCAGTGACAGTCTTCTCCCAAAAAAGTGCTCCACCAGGGGTGGGGGTGGGGGCAGTGGCTTCAGCCCCTACCTCACACCATATAGAAAATACATTTGAAATGGACCCCAGAGCTACATAAAAAAGTTAACTCACTGTAAAACTTCTGGAATAAAATGAATAAGGCCAAAAGATATTAACGATAAAAAGATTTAAATGGAATCCAATCAAAACTAAAAGCTACTCTTCTTTAAAAGACACCCTTAATAAAATCAAAGTGTGAACTTCCAACTTAGAGGAAACACAGCACATCTCCCTGACACAGGCCTTGTGTCCAAAAGAAAAGAGTCTGCACAACTCATTCAGAAGGGACTGAAACATTTTCTTCGTTTAATTTAATTTTGGGGGGTACCGACAATTAAACTCGGGACCTTGCACTGGCCAGGCAGGCACTGAGCTATGTCCTCAACTTATTATTTTAATATGCAAGCTGAAGAACTGAGCAAACAAGATAGGAAACAAACGGTTACTGGGCAGAGAAATACGTTCAAAATTAGAGAAATGCAAATTAGCTCAAATAGCAATACTGTTCTACACCCGGTAGCATGCCTAAAATTAAACAGACAGGTAAAAGCCAGGGATATAGCTCAATGGCACAAGTGCCTGCCTGGCAAGTGCAAGGTCCTCAGTTCAATCCCTGGTATGGAAGGAAGGAAGGAAGGAAGGAAGGAAGGAAGGAAGGAAGGAAGGAAGGAAGGAAGGAAGGAAGGAAGGAAAGGAAAGGAAGGACAGACGGACCCAAAGGAAGGAAGGAAGGACCCAAAGGAAGGAAGGAAGGAAGGACCCAAAGGCAGGCAGGCAGGCAGGCAGGCAGGCAGGCGACCCCAGATGTTAACACTGACACAGAGCAACTGGCACCCGCACACACTACTGGAAAGAGATAATAAATACATTTCATCCACTTTGGAATTCACCCAGCAATTCTGCCAGACAAGTAACCAAGAAAACGACAATATACATCCACAAGAAGACGTGTGTGAATGTCCCCGCTGCTTTACCTACCACAGCCCAAAACTAGACGTGACTCAAATACTCATCAAGAAGTCACTGGAAGAGCAGCTCACGGTGGAGCACAGTGACAAACTACCCAAGGTCCCAGGAGAACCAAGCACTGCGGCCTGCTGCATTTCCGAAGCAGACACCTGTCCCCAGCATTATGCATGCTGTGTGACCAGTCAGGCCCTGCAGAGTCCTTCTCCTTTTTTTATGCTACAGAATGTTTAAGGATAGGCCAAACCCAGCCACAGTGACAGGCGCTAGCCCAAGTGTTCTCATGGCAGGAGAGGGCAGCAAGGGCTCTCCGCGGTGATGCAGAGGTCCCGGCCATCTCGCGTCATGGCCACACATCTCACGAGGGTCTCACGAGGGTCTCGCGGATCACTGCTGCGCACGAGCCACTGCACAGCAACCTCGTCACCCAGGGGCCTCAGCAGCAGGACACCGACATTCTGTACGTTCCTTGCTACTCCCCACCTTATGGTGCCCCCAAGACTAAGTGAGAAGGGAAGCGGGTCCGTCCCCCACACAGGCAGCGCAGGGAGCGAGTGGTGAGAGCAGAGGGGCACCTGTGTCCCAGGCAGGAAGCGCACCCTCCTCCCAGCCAGCCCCCTCTGCCCCCACTCCTGGCGGGCATCGCGGCTCTTAAATGTCTTACATAGCCGTGCCCCCTACGCCTCGGGAGCTGCCAAATTCCTTCTCAAGTGAGTTCTTTTGTTTCTGTGCCCACACTGCCACTGTCATTCGAGTCCGCCTCCACCTCTCATCTCTCTAAAGTGTCCCGAACAGCACTACCAAACCCAGTTTTTATATTATTCCCCAGTGCAAGGCTACCACACCACCGAGACTATACACTCAAACCAAACCCCATGTAAGACGGGCTCCGAGGCACAGCCGGAGATGGCTGTGGCCCCCACGGATTCCTGAGTCAGGCATGGTCTTGACGAGAGCAGCGGGGGAGCACTTAAGAGGTGGGGCTCAGGGGATGCTGGGAGTCATTCCTGTGACCCTGGGCGTGTCCTGAGGTGGGCGCAAAAGCAGCTTCCTGGCTGTGACCACTGCCCTGACACGCGCTCCTGCCCTGCATCCTGTCCTCCACGGGGTCCTCCCCAGATGCGGTGTTCACCCCCACTGTGAACCTCCATCATGGGCTAAACTGTCCTCTTTCTCCCTAAGCAGCCTGCACCAGGTGCTTCATTATAGTAACAAAGCTGCCCCATGCAAGCCCAGGCAGGGAATGGTTTCCTGTCGCTGGGAGCCCCCATAGAGCGAGGCCCACGGGTTTCTGGCACCAGCCCACCACCCCGCTCCTCTGGGAAGCACAGCGCCTCCCAGCAGACACTGTGGGCCTGCAACAGTAAGCCTACAGCTCCATGGCCAATGCGCTGTGCCATCTGTTCTTAGCGAAAATCTCAGCACCCAGGATCGGTTGCAGGGCTGGCACTTCGAAAGGCCCTTGGTGTCGCAGAGGTCCACCATCACTGTCCTAGCTGACCAAGAGGATGCTTCCCCCTCCCCAGGTCCCAGCACCAGCGCAAAAATCACAGAATTCTGACTTATTTTCTGGGCATGAAGACTTTCCTTTACTCCTCTAAGTTCGGCTGTTCACCTACAATCACTGGTCTTGCATCCAAAATCTGCACACCTCCACCAAGAGCTTCCTCAGGTTACCTTGCTTCACCAGACTGCCAGAGCCACACAGAAACAAACTCAAGAGTCAAAGCAAGGGTGTACAGGAGGACAGGGTAGGGAGTGCCAACGCCACCACACAGCATCCCTGGAGGCTACAGCAGGTGGGGAAGCGGCGGGGAGGTGCAGGGGAGGCACTTTACCGATGACGCGGTGGTTGAAGTAATCGGGCAGCATCCGCTCGCACACAGCGACCAGCAGCCAGAAGGCCTCCTCCTCCTTGGCATACAGCAGCAGCACAGAGGTCAGGATGTTCATGGACTGCACACAGAGCATGGAGGACAGGCGGTTAGCAGCAGCCACTTGGCACTGAGAGACTTCAGTCACACACAAGCCCAGGGTGGGCACCACTCAGAGAAAGACCGCGTGCCTGGCACACATGGGTCCTAGGTTCAAACCCTAGCATCTCACACACACCCCGGCACAAGACAACAGAACCCACATGACCCAACTGTACTGACCCTTAGGGAATGAATGACCACAGTTAACAGGGGCCTCACACAAGGCTGAGTGACTGGCAGCCATTTGGTCCCTATCCCCCATCTGGCAATGCTGTCACCCTGTTGTCACATGATCTAATAGTTGTGTTGGGCTGGCCAAATAGCTCAGCGGATTGGGGTTCAATCCCCGGGCCTGCTGTGCTGGCCCCGCCTCCAGGACATGCTGAGATGGCAATTGAGACTGGGCATGGTGGTGCATGCCTATAATCCCAGCTCTTGGGAGCTGTAAACAGGAGGATCACTACGAGTCTGATCTAGTAGTGAGACCCTGTACACCCTGTACTCTTCCCTAAAAAAATACAAAAAAAAAAAAAAAAAAAAAACCCACAAGAGGCTGAGGGTGTGACCACGCACTTAGGATCCCTCCTGCCTCTCTTGGGTGCGCTAAGCCCATCTTGTCTCGGTGGGGCTCAAGGAGACGCAGCCGGCGGCAGCCACCTCGCACAGCTATCTCCACTTCATGGCATCCCTAAGTCTCCTGTCTCCAACCAGCCTGACTCTAGAAGGTGACCGAAGTGTATGGGGAGGGGCGGGGGGGCAGCTTGGCAGGCTCAGCGCCTGCTAGGCAAGCTCAAGGCCCAAGGTTCGAGCTTCAGTACCACGTGACATGCTGGCCCTGCGCCGAACAGGCCATAGAACTGGGAGTGGCAGTGCACGCCTGCAAGCCCAGCACTGGGGAGGCTGAGACAGAAGGATTGCTACGAATCCAAGCGGCATAGCGAGACCCTGTACCAAATAAATAAAGATTAAAAAAAAAAAAGAAATGTACAGTAAATGCTTAATTTTTCAAAAAAAGTGATTAAAGTGAAAGACATATTGATATTAACCTCCCTAAAAACATGCCCTCTTCACACACGTGTCCCACCATTCTCGCCACCTGCTCGCACAGGCCTGGAGGTCCTCTTTCCTGAGGGTCTCTACAAGGTGTGACCAACACTAGACCACTGAGTGTCGTCCGGCAGAAAGGCAGCTCAGAGAAGCACAATGCCATGTCCGCACTGCCTCCTTACCTGATGGGCACTGTGCGACTCTGTCTCTTCCCCAAGGTCAAATTCACAACAGGAAGGACATGTTTTGAGTAATTCAGGACATGGAGGCAAGCAGGACACAAAACTACGGACCCAAGTAGACTCCAGAGCTGCCACGTAAAGCGGCAGGAATGACGGGACCAGGGTGTGCAAAGCGAGGGGAAGGCGCCTCGAGGCAAAGCGTCTCTTCCTATAATGTTTTTATTTAATGTCGACATTCCCTGTATTTCCCGCCACAGCCCACAGGAGGATCCTACATGCTGGCCTCCTGTGGCTCGTTCTTTCCAGGAAGGGCCCGAGCAGGCCACCTGACAGATCGGTCCTCAGGACCAGTGCAGGACAGGGGATGCAGAACCCGGGCACCACCCACCTGGCAGTACCCGATGCGCGGGTTGCGGTGCGCATAGGCTGTGAGCACCCTCCTGAGCGCAGCAATACCGGTCTCGCTCTGGAAGGCCGGGTGCTCGGGCAGGGAGCGGTGCAGGTCACGCTCAATCTCCTCGGTCGCCAGGCAGCACCGGCCCAGCGACTCCTCCACCAGCTTCCCGTAATAACCCGGGTGTGATGCAAGGTCTGTCACAGCATCTGGGAACGTGACACAAAGGTGAGGCTCTGGGGGAAGGGGGTGGGCTGCACGGAGGAGGTCTCGTCACTCACTGGGCAGAAAGTACTAAGACCACACACAGAGGCCTTCCTGTGAGTCACCTAGCCCAGTGCGGGCACAGTGGAAGTGTTTTTCCTAAGAAGTACACACAGCAGGAAGAATTCAAATTAAACACTAACGTGCCCTTCATAAGCTGCGTTCCTAGGGACAGGGAGAGGGCAGCTCACATACGGTTACTGTCGGCATCCACTAACTCACAACACTGGCCTTATTTGCACTCTCAGCTTCTCACACTGGAGAGACAGCACAGTACTTACCCAAAAGTATGGCCTCAGCACCCAGGGTTTAACCACACTCCCTTCCCGGGGCTGGCACCAGCTGGGCAGGGGGGCAGAAACGCACCTGGCAAGTCCCACCGGGAGTCTGTCACAGCCCTGTCACTGTGCCTCTTGCAGGGACCGAGACTGCGGCCTGCACCAGGCACTCACAGAATATGCAACCGCTGCACCCCACGAGATCCCCCACACCCTGGTGTCTCTCTGCCAAGGCTGGGAGGAACAGCCCAGGTGCCCTGGGATCCCGCTCCTCCACGTCACACCCCGTTTCCTAAAGGAAGGGATTCTGGCATCCTGCAAAGGGCTGCAGCAGCAGCTGGAGGAGTGGGTGGGCACCGTGGGAAGCTCTGTGGGTCACTAAGCCTGGCATGGAGCACGCAGGGCGCCCAGTTCATGGGAGGGGGATGTAGGCACCAGCTAGAGGCTGAATGCCTGGAAGGAGGGGACCTGTAGGCACCAGGGGTTTGGGGCAGACACTCTTGGCGACAGCAAACTCACAAGTGTCACCTGGCTGAGCCCTGAAGCCCTCAGAGGGGGAACCTGGCTCCGTGGCCACAGAAGATTGGGTCACAAGGTATAGGGGCGGCACTGGTAATGGCCTGAGGAGATGAGCCTTTCACACTGGAAGGGCCAGGACTACAAGAATGCACGACCCTGGGCAGCTACATAGGTGCTGGGCATCAACCTGGGCTCCTGTCCTGGAAGGCGCGTCATTCCAGGCTTCTTAATGGGATATGCAGATGTACATGCAGACTTTGGCTCATTCTTTGTATATTTTTTTTTTAATTTTTGAAACTTTTAGTTTATTTGCCTATTTGAGACAAAGTCTATGTAGCCTAGGTTGGCCTCAAACTCACAGTGATCCTCTAGTGCTGGGATTACAGGCCTATATCACCACGCCTAGCTAGGTTTTATATTTTGAGGCAGGGCTCACTACATAGTTCAGACTGACCAGGACTGTGTGGCGATCCTCCTGCCCCAGCCTCCCAGGTGCTGGGCTTACAGACATACAGTCAGTCTTTAGGGAGAGATCACACTGCCCAGAGGCCTCAGGCCCCCTGGGCCCAGAGCCCGCTGCAGCCAGCACAGCCGGGGCTCCAGGTTGCACGGCTGGGCACTTAGAGCTAAGCAGCGCATGCGCTGCCCAAGGCCTGAGACTCTGCACACGCACCTGAGAACAGGAGCCAGAGTCGACCGCGCAGGGCCTCGGGGATCCCCATGGCCACGAGCTTGCGGATCTTCTCGGTGCGGAACATGCACACCGTCCTGCCGTACTCCGCAAAGTGGTCATTCCACAGGCTGATCTTTATCTGCTCCCGGGACTGGAGAAGGAAACAGGGACTGAGGCCCAAGCCACCATCCTTGGCCTGGGGCAGGGGATACCACGTCTCCCAGGGCTCAGAACGGCGGCAGTGACCGCAGGAGCCTAGCACAGATGATGCCAAGGTGAGCCGGCTCTCCAGCTATGGCGAGGGAGATGCCCTTTTTGAACTTATTTGTTTTAATTTTTCTTTATTTATTTCTTGGAATCTGCTGGGGTTTTCTGAGACAGGGTCTCATCAGATAGTTCAGGCTGGCCCTGAACTCACAGCAATCCTCCTGCCTCAGCCTCTCAGGCAGAGATACCACACTCATAAAGAAAGGTATCTCTCTAAATACATACTTCTAATCCCACCACTGGGGAGGCTGAGGCAGGAGGGTTACCATGAGTTCTTCCCCAAGGTCCTCAGCATGCAGTGTCCCCCCACCCCACCCCCGTGGCACAGACACCTCACCCACCAGGCGTGAGTCAGGTCTTGGGCTGCCCGATGGAGGGAAAACAGGGGTCAGGGGCTCAGGGCATGGTGACAGGCTCTTCTCCTCCTTGTGGCCCTGAGGGGACACCATTTCAAGATCCCCAAACTTGTGGTCACCACATATGCTTGAGTAGAACACAGGTGTCATCTGCATGGTCAATAAAAAAAATGTTCACAATTATACATCAGTTAAAAAGAAAAATACATCAGCTGAGTGCGGTGATGCACACCTGTGACCCCAGCACGGGGAATCACAAGTTCAAGCCCAGCCTGGGTAAGGTGGTGACTCAGTGAGACCCTGTGTATAGCTAAGGAACTAAACAAAAGGTGAGACTGCAGCTCAGCACAAGGCAGGCTCGATCTGCAGAACCACCAAGGATGAACCATAAAAGCAGAAATTAAAATATTTTTCAAGGCACTACAGGACACAAGGACCTCCTAAACCCAGTCTACCTCAGAAGCTGTCCAACCAGGACAGCAATAAAGCTCTTCTCCCAGCAGGCCTCAGCTGCCCCAAATAACATGGTCCCCAGTACCACTATGAACAGGAGAATCACACCCTTCAAGGCCACAGGAAGGCTCCAGCCTCAGCAGGTGGCTCTGTCAACCCCTCTGGTCCATGAACTCCTCCAACCTCCACGATAAACCACCTGCTGCCCATGTGGGGTCACATCCCACCAGCACCCTGATCTGTGGAACTTGTGGGGCCACCCAGTGCCTCAGGAGTGACACCTGCATGGCACACCATCTGCAGCCTCCAGGGCATCTCTCCCGCCCCAGAGGCCGTGAGAAGGGAGGCTGGAGGTTTGGGCCAGGCAGGGCCGACCCATGGGGCTCCTACCATGTTGCCATCGTCACTTGTCGAGGTGTCGTAGCTCACGGGGTGGTCGGCGTGGACCTGCCTCAGTCTCGCCAGCAGGCTCTCCACCAGGCCCTCCCTGTCCCTGAGCTCAATGAACTGGAAGGCCATCTTGCTGCGGATGCTGACGATCACAGGGTTGGGCAGCAGGCTCGTGTCCTCCATCTTCTCTATGCTCACAACCTGGCACGGAGCACAACAGGCAAGGACGTAAGGCGGGCAAGGGAGCGCTCGGTCACACGCTCTAAACGGCAAGTGGGGGAGGCGGCGGCAGTCCCCACAGCCACAGCTCAGGGTTCCACTAAGCAATGAATGGGCAAGCAAGCGAGTGACAGAACAGCACGTGGTCTTAAAAGGGAAATTCCAGCCCAGGCTACAATACGGAGGACCTTCCAAACGCTATGCTAAGTGGAAAAAATTAAAGTGACAACCAAACGCTGTACGAGTCCATCACACAAGGCAACGTAAGCAGCCAGATTCACAAGGACGTGGTCGGGGGGACACCAGGGCCCTGGAGAAGCACAGCAGTGAACTGCAGGTCAGGCACATTAGCAGAAAACATTTAAACTACCCGAGGCAGCGTCTCCATTTCTCACTCCACATGCATAAAATGAACACATGTCCTGTAGCATGACAGAGCACATGCAGCAGAGACTACGGACACCGCTCTAGGCGGGGTGCAGGCCCAAGGCACCAGAGGGCCAGCTGGGGAAGGGCTGTGGTCTCCGCTCAGCAGCAATGCACAGGGCCAGAGGATGGGGCCGCTCAGATCTGAGTCAGCTGAGGCTGCCCCCAACTTCCAAGACGAGAACTGTAGAACTTTATGAAGAAAGGATCTGTCTCCATTAAAAGAAGAATTTTTAAATCTTTAACTGAAGTTCCAGGAGAAAAGTCAAGCAATTTACTATTTATCTTCCAAATTGAAGCTTTTTATAGTTGGCTTTTTTTTTCCCCCATCATTTTGGTGAGTGAAAGGGGAAGATTCTTTCCTAAGAGCTGCTGGAAAAGCTGTCATGGCTAGGCTGGGAATGTACTTTCTAGTAACAGCTTTATGAGTAACCTGGAGGTGGGAGCACTCCACGGCCACCCACCCTCCCTGGTCAACATCAGACTGCTGTGGAGACAAGGAAGCGCAGTGGTCCAGCTCAGGCCCCACCTCCCTCGCAAAGCCCGGCTCCCCAGGGGCCCACCTTCAGCAGTGAAGCTGCTGTGCCGGCCCCTCCCACGCCAGGACCGAGGCTGTCTGGCCTCTTTCACAGCAGAGCTTGGCTCCCAAGGGGCTGCTGCAAAGAGGCGTGGGGCCCTGTGCGCCCTGAAGCAGCCAGCCTAGTAAGGTGGCCCAACCCTCGAGGGAGGAGGGCCGAGGGCCGCTGGCTCCTGCCTCAGCCTCGCCGCCACTGTGACCTCTCCCTCTCACACAGGTCCCTGCCACTGCAACGCCAGCCCCGGGAGCCACCCCTGTCGCGCATCAACCTCTTCTGACGCAGCCTCCAGCACCACTGCAGCAAGAGAGCAGGCTGGCTCCAGGGTCAGGTGACAGAGGCAGCCTCCGGAGGCGCAGGGGCTGTGCCACGTGCTTGGGTGCATGCAGGAGCTGCGAAGCCTTGTCCGGGGACTGCCGGTGAAGGGACGAGAAACGCCGCCAGTGCACACCGCGGCGGGCCACTCTGCCATGAAGCAGGTGAGCTGGTCCCCTCCAGGAGAAGGGCTGCCCCTGGAGCCATCACGTTAAGGGATGTAAGTCAGACACCCGAGGCTTAGTATTACACAGTGTCTCTCGTGTGAAGAACCCAGGGAGACAGAACTGCTGCATATGCAAGGGGCCCAGCAATGGGGGTGGGAAGAGAGCGGATGGGCAGTGCGCACACGCCGCTCCTCCAGAGGCAGCAGCCACCTGCTGCACGCACTGCAAAGGGACGCACGGGGTCACAGAGGTGTGCGCTACCTCGCGGAGTGGCAGGACCACAGTGCAGCGGCCGTCCTCACGGCTGGCGAAGCAGATGTAGCTGTCGGAGGTGAACATCCGGCCCGCGGTGTGGCAGCGGCTGAAGGGCGTCCACAGGGCACAGTCCACCACCGCGCGCAGCTTCTCCTTCCGCGGAAGCCGAAAGAAGGCCCGGAAGAACTCATTCTGCGCCCGCGCCTCCAGGTCCCTGGACAGAGTGGGAGAGGACAAGAGGAAGCAGACATGAGGGGAGCCGCGAGGTGAAGGGGGGCCACGCTCGCAACCTGCTGGCACTGTGTCCCCTCCCCCAGCCCAAAAGCCCTCTACCCTTCACCTTCACGGCCCATTCACGGGCCACATATTGTCCCTGGCTGAACTAAATACGGATTTCTTCCAAGTTTGAGTAATGCTGAAAATTACCACCAGAATGGCCAAAGAAGCCAAGTGTTAAGAAGTCAAATAATAATAAGTGATGGTGAAGATGGGGGGCAGTTGGGACCTCAAACCCTCCTGGAGGAAACATAAAATGGTGAGCTGTGTGGTAAACAGACTGACAGCACCTTGGGAAGTTGGGGAAAAAACAGATTAAGCTGACCCGGAGGAGGTTTGCCAGTTGCCTCAGTTGTTTAAGCACCTGCCTGGGCAAACCCAGTCAGGCTTGTGGGACCGCGGATGGATCCCCAGCTCCACATACCACACCACACCCACCATTAAGGCAGCGTGAGCCAGGCCAAAAAAATCCTTTTCTAAACTGATCCAGAAACCTTGCTTCTAGTTTACAGACCCAAGAAAACTGAAAACATCTACTCACGAGCTTGCACACAAATATTCCTAGCAATCTCATTCCATAACTGAAAGGCAGAAACTATACAAATTTTCCTCAGCTGATGAATGGACAGATGATATTCATAAAAAGTCACCCACACGAAAGAAGAATGAAGTAGCGGTGCATGATCTGAAAGGAGCCGGATACGCAAAGGCCACATGGTGCCTGACTAGGCAGAAACAGGAGCAAGGCTTCATTGAAGTAATTTTTTTTTTTTTACATTTTATTTTTTATTTATTTGTGTGTGTGTGTGTGGCCAGCTCAGCCCACCAGGGGGCGGGGCTGGCTGGCATGTGGTGCTGGGGGATTGAACCGCGGTCCCTGTGCTTTGTTCAGCTTAGCTTGTTCTAAGTAGGTGCTTTAGACCACTGAGCCATCTCACCAGGGGTGCAGGGAGACACAGAAGTGAGGCGGGACTGCTCACAACGTGGGGCTCTCTGTGGGCGATATGCGGTGACACCAGCTGCAGAGCGCATGCTGCGCACGCACCCCCAGGTCCTGGGCAGAGCAGGGAGGGCAGGGGGGGCAGACGGCGTGCAGCTCCGCGGATGCGGGCCTCCAAGAGGTGCGCATCTGCATCAAGGCCAACAACACAAGCGCCTACGCTTCCCTCAGGGACCACCAGGGGAATGCGGGCACACCATGTACCCCCCCAACGCCACCCAGAATGGAAGGCGAGGCCCCGGAGGGTGGTCCCAGGTTCCTAAATGGATCTCGCTGAACCTAAGAGGAGAGTGGTGGGTACCAGAAACCTGGGAAGACACAGGGAGAAAAGGATGGAGAAAAGCTGATTAACGGGCATCAAGTCAGAGAGCACTAAGACGTTCTGGGTGCCGCACAGCAGGGAGCTGCAGGCATCAGCCATGCACTGTGTTCACATAGAAATGTTTGAGTACCAGGTCAGACATCCCTATTCAATGTATACAAGTATCAAAACACCACATCGTACCCCATTAACATTAACTGATTTTTTTATGTTATAATTTTTAAATCAAAATAACCATAAATAATACAGAGGACTGACATCTCTGTCCCCAGATCACGCCAGTGCCACTGGCTCAAATGGCAGTCCAGGGAGCGCTTGCTCCATGCAGTGTCTCAGAAGTGTGGCTCTGGCACCAGCGAATCCCCTTGTTCCTCCCAGGCACGGCTTCTCCCCTTCCCCGAAGGAGCTGGTCACAGCCAAAGCGAAGGTGGCAGAAGCCAAAGCACCTCACAGTATCCCAGAAGGCTCGGAGGACCTCTACTGCCTTTTACCGGAACCCTCAAATTAAGACTAAGGGGCTATGGTCTCTCAGGACAGCTAGGCATCCGCCCACTCCTCTGTAGCCTCAGCTCACTGCTCGGTGGCTTCTGAGCAGCTGGTGCCCAGAGCCCTTCAGTCTCCATTGTCCCCTGGGCACATCTGGTAGCCAGCAACCTGAAACCTCAAGTCACAAAAAAAAGGAAGCAGCAGAAAGGACTTGAAGACCTGAGTGATTTTCCTCCCTTCCCACTCCTGGCCCTGGGACCTCTGCAACCAGCTGCGCCCTCATGGAGCCCAGGAAGGGTGGTCTTACTCTGAGCTTTCTGAAGAGCTGGTTTCTCCTCACCCATGTCACTCCACTTCCCCTCAGTTATGCTGGAAACGTGTATGTGGAAATCACACATGCAAAGGGTGAAGCACAGAGTAAAACCACCCTTGCAGTGTGTCCCGGAAGCAGGTGGTAGTCACGATGCCCACCATACCAGCTCCTTCCCTGGCAGCATCCAAAACGCAGCCCACTGGCTCAGCCATGCCTCCCGGACCTTCCAGCACCTACCAGAGCCTCCACTTTCCCTCCCTGAGCAAGATGCAGGCAGGGGTCACAACCTGACATGCAGAAGGCCATCTCCTGGAGCCTGGCCCAGAAGGCGCTGGCGTACACAGACCAAACCACTGCTCCAAGAGCGTTCTGGCTGAGGCCAGCAGGGCCCAGGCCACCAGCCACACTAGCTTAACACCCACTATGGGAGGAGGCCATATGGGGAGGGAAGAACCGGCTGCACCAGAATGTGTCAGCTTCAGCGTTCAGGGTTTCCACTCGGACGTGGGCAGGACTGCATGGCCGCAGCTAAGGGAGGACAAGCTTTGCACCCAGCCTGCCCCTCAGAGCTCAGGAAGGGGCCTGCCAGCCACCCTCAGTTACGCGGCCACTCCCAGCCCTGTGCTTCAGCTCTGGGAAATGCCAAGAACTGCCAGCCTGGAAACGAAGCAAAGTGTGCTTCCTCAAAGCCTCAGCGTGCACGTAAACACCTCATTTATCAAATGTGCGCTGACTCAAAACATCTTTCCCTGTGACCCGGGAGCCCTAAGGAAGTGACAGAATGGCCCTGTGACAAGGCCACTGGTACAGAGCACACAGGAGCCAGAGCCTTCACAGGACAGGACAAGTGAGGCTCACCTGGGCCTGAGACAGCAGGTGGCTACATGACAGTGGGCTTGGAGGTACCCACAGCCTCTCCGTTCACGCTGAACCCCAGGAGAACACGCCTCAGTAACACATCAGTGATGGCTTTTCACTCCCAAGAAAGGTTCCTGGCTCTGTGCCCTGCCAATCGTCCCATCAAGTGTCCAACCCTGAGCAACCCATAATCGCAGAGCAACTCGAGAGTCTGAATGTCACGGGCCGAGACATAGTGGGGGCTGAGAGGCCCTCCTGCTGCAGGGCAGGGTGCTCCAGTGGGACAGTTGGAAGTGGGTCTCCTTCTGGGTGCCCACGAGAACCAAAGAGAGGGCAGCCGGGATGGGGAAAGGCCAAGGGTGCCTGCAAAGAAGGTGGGTTAGAATCACCCAGGTGACAGGGATAGGGCTCACCACTAAGGACCTCTGTCCCCCGGAAGCCACTGCTCACCTCTCCATAAGGGCAGGGGCTTAAATTATGGGAAGCAACTTCCTTTCGCTTCCCACTAGGCAAAGCCCATCTCCCCTGCCCCTGCCCACCTTGAATGCTGGACCTGCTCTTCTGGCCTCCCCTTCCCAGCTTCATTGAGTACTTCCTGTCTGGAAATCAACTCCTCCTGCCCCACCTGTCCCTTCTCCCTCTGGGCTGCCCCCCCCCCATCATTGCCTGCCCAGGTCTGCATGTACCTGTGAAACAGGCCCATGAGCGCCACCCTGCTAGCTCCCACCGGCCCATCAGGGTGACAAGGGACTGTCCCGCCTCTCCAGGGAGGTGCAGGCATCCCCATCCAGCCCCGTCAAGCCCCCTGCAGTGACCACAGCACAGGAGTGCCTGTGCGCAATCCTATGCTCTTTCCTGACTCTTAAACTGAGGGGCACCTCTGAAGCCTGTTTCTGAGACAGGAAGTGAAAGCAGACCCACTGCAGAGACCCCACGGGGGTTCCAGCGCAGCTGCAGCCCCCACACGGCGGGCGCCGAGAGCTGTTTTCCTGGACTTTCAAACCTGGCCCTCTGGCAGGATGCCGGGCAGATTGAGTCACTACCTGTTTACACGCATAGGCGCGCGTCTCCATGGCAAAGCTAAGATGAGAGTCGGCTGGGAGTGGAGGCTTGAGGTGGGGGGCTCTCGCGCGAGTGAAGTCCCACAGCCTGGACCAGACCCCACTGGGTTTCTAGGGCCAGCCCTGGGCACCCTGGAAGCTGGACCACTGCCACTGCAATGGCAACACAGGTAAATTTCTAGCGTCCCCAGAGCAGAAGGCAGGGGTGGCTAGGGGGTCAGATCTCCCCTTAGCACTGGAAGGTAAACAGAGACTGCTGGTGAGGGTGATTTTTCTTCCAAAACATTTCCAGAGGGTAATCCGGCACTCCAGCCCTTCAGTTCTCCTCTCTCCTACCATGGACCAACACTGCCACGTGGTCACCTGAGTGCCGCGCCTTGGGCATCAGCACAACCCAGGCTGCCTGTGCCTCCTCGCCCAGCTAGCGCCTGTGGCTGCGCTCTGGACACGCACAGGCGCAGCAGCCCGCTACCCAGGACGGAGGTCACATTTTCCTTGGAGGTTTACACAGCACTTTGGAAACTCACACCTGGGAACGCCCTCTTCAGGGCTCTGTAGTGTGGGCCTTTTCTTTTTTAACAAATCTTTGGTCAACTGGACTAAAAAGACTTGGACCCCAACTACCCTATGGCATATAAGGAAATGCGGGAGCGTGTGGCTCACACCACAGCTGGGTGCACGCTCAAGAGTGCGCGGGGAGGAGTGGGGCCGAGTGTGCATACCCACGTGCATCTAGCCGGAAAGCGGAGTGGCCCAAGCATGTCCACACGCGCGAGCAGAGAAAGTGCACACGTGCACCACGGAATGCTCTCCTAGGAAGAAGAGCCTGCACGTCCGGCTACACCAGGGGTGAGCCTTGAGCTCACGCTCTGTGAAATCGCCCAACACAAGACAGCGAGCACTGTGGGGACTCCTGCTGGGAGGGGCCTCGCTGGTGCAGGGTGGTGGCGGCCAGACGGGGAAGTGTGCAGAGGGAGGTAGAAGGACAGAAGGAGGGGCAACGGCAGTCACGCAAGGGACGAAGAGCTCAGGGTGGGCAGGCAGCAGGGCCGCGCAACAGTGCGAGGTACTGCACGGCTCCGCGGCTGTGTACTTAGCAAGAGCCACCACGGCAAAAGCTACGTTACCTGTACTTTACAATAAAAAATACTTTTGTATCATGACTAGATTCGTGGAGCAGCGACTGAGTCCAGTTAGATCAACACCAAACCAGGACAGCGCCAGCTGCTAACTTGGGGAAGCGGTCTTTGGAGCAGCGCTGCAGCTACCTAGCCGTGAGCCACAAGTCCCAGGGTCACGTGGAGCTCAGGCACCACGTCCAGAACTTCAGAGACAGGAGAACTCTAAGTCTTCATAGGATGAGGATTCACACAACTATCTCACAAATCTGCATGACCAGCACCACTTTGGGTCAAACAAATAATAAAGACTATTGACTTACACTGTTCATTAGCGAAACGCAGTACCTCATAGATTTCTATCATGAGGACACCTGCATGACATGCTCTAGAAGTACTACGTATGAATATCTATTCTGAAATAGTATCAGGGGAACTGGATCTAAAAACCAGAGTCTTTTACCTACAAGAAATGAGTGGTGATAAACTTTAACTATTGTCTCTGTTGAGATTAACAATACAGGAAGAATTGGGCTATACCATGAAAGAAATTAAACCTAGTATATCTGGCCTCCTGTATGCACATGTTCTGTGTCCTTAAATTTAAATGCTAAATATTTATTTTTAAAAATACATGTGCGCTAAACATGTAGCCGTTCTCATGTCATTATTCCCCGAGCAGTGCAGTGTAACCACACGATGTCCATGGCATTTACACTGTGGGGAGCTTCTGACAGCTAGAGATGAATTTTTTTAATGTATTTAGGGCAGGGTCTTCAGGTGTCACAACGTAGATCAGACTCGTAGTGATCCTCCTGTTTTCAGCCTCCCAAGCACTGGGATTACAGGCGCACGCCACCACGCCCAGTCTGAATCGCCATCTCAGCCCGCCCCGGGGGCGGGGCCAGCACGGCATGCCAGGGATCAAATTCTTGCCCCTGCATCTGCCCAAGCAGATGCTTTAATCCACTGAGCTGGCTGGCCGACCCTTACAGATAATTCTTTAAAGCACAGGGAGGACATACACAGATTCTGTGTAAACACTACACCATTTTCTATCAGACTTGCGCACCCCCATTCTCAACCCCACAGAGCCCTGGCCCATCCCTAGCAGTGAGGAGAGCTGCCCGCGCGGGTGAAGCCACCAGAAACGAAGGCTGAGCCCCAGTGTGGGCCCCACCAGTGAAGGGCACCACCGAACTCCAGCTCTACCGTTTGCTGATCTGGCTCGGCTCCTGTAGGTCTGGGTCCAGCTCGAAGACCTCGTTGTCCAGCAGCCTCCGGAGCGTGACGTCCGCCAGCTGCTCCATGATCCTGAAGGCCTCGTCCAGGTCCAAAAACATGGAGAAGTCACGCTCCTTGTTCTGCGTGGTGATCCGGATGGTGTCCGTGAGGAAGACGTTGGACGTCCTTTCCAGCTTCTGTATATCCACCCATGGGATGACAAGTTTAACTGCAGGAGGAAAAGGGAAGTGTGCTTGGCAAGGTTTGAGCCACCTTGCGTGCACCAGCAAGCACAGTCCAGAACTTTCCTTAAACTCAGGCCTAAGGTCCTCTAAGCCGGAGCAGGGAGAAAAGCACAGACCTGTCTGCCAGCCGCCGGTGAACCCCAACTCAGGTTCTAGTGGGCCCCTCAATGACTTAAGTGGCACACTCCCAAGGAGTGTCGTCGGGAATAACAAGCAGCCATCCACAAACCCCCCCACAGATGTTTAAATATCCATAGTTTCTTAAACCGTACAAATTCTGGTTTTGGAAACAGCACTCATGACAAAAGCCAGAGGAAAAAGGAGATGAAAGACTATTATTCAAGATCTCATTTTCAGAAATTCACTAAATAAGCCAGGCATGGTGGTACACACCTGTAATCCCAGCACTTGGGAAGCTGAGACTGGAGGACTAACAAAAGTTTGAGGCCAGCCTGTGCTACGTAGTGAGTTTAGGAACAGCCTGAACTACATAGTGAGACCCTGTCACAGAGAGAGAGAGAGAGAGAGAGAGAGAGAGAGAGAGAGAGAGAGAGAGAGATACAGACAGACAGACAGACAGACAGACAGGGGCCTGGGGGTGGGGGAGGGGTATCCCCTTTCTACAAGCAGCAGGGCACCCAGCACTTGTGATACCAGCAGGGACATTTTTTAGATGCCCCTTGCCCCCTATGAGAAGTCATTCTCCCTCAGAGATACTCAGCTACCAGTTACGACACTGTGTTTCCAAGGCAACCAATAGTATTAAGAACCTCTGCATCGCCATTTGGTTTTTTGTTGGTACCAGGAATAAAGCTGAGGACCTTGCGTTTGTTGGTGTGGTATGGTGTGCTGTGCTGTGGTGTGCTGTGTTGTGCTGTGCTGTGCTGTGGTGTGAGGTGGGATGGGGTGTGGGGTGGGATAGGGAGTGGAGTGGAGGGGAGAGGAGCAATGTGGTGGGGTGTGCTGTGGGTGGGGTGAGGAGGGGTGAGGAGGGGTGTCGTGATCTTGTGATGGGTTCTCACTATGTAATTCAGTCTGGCCTTGAACTCACTATGGAGCCCAGGCTAGCATCAAATGCATGTCAATCCTCCTGCCTCAGCCTCCTGAGGGCTGAGCTCATAGGCCGAGCCACCATACCTGGCTCTCCATAGCTCTTTGAAGTGAGCAACAGAAAAATCTTAAGGCAATGGAGGAAAAGGCATTCTCCCCAGATGAAACCCTCTGAGAGCAGGAGGTAAGTATCTGCTTGAGGCATTTAGAAATTAAGCACGTATCACCTGTCACCCCACCACCTTTTAACCTTATGCTGGGAGGTGCCTGATGCAAACGGCCTCTGGCAGGAGCAGCCCTGGGCCTCCAGTGTCTGTGAGCATCCTGGGGTGGTGGGCCTCACTTACGCTCCTTGCCCAGGAAGAAGGAGTAGAAGCAGAGGTGGTTGATGCTGAGGTACAGCCACCCCTGGCGAGGCACCCGGCCCTTCCAGCAGCAGCAGGAGTAGTAGGTGACCAGCTTCTCTGCCTCAGGGAAGTTGAACCTGGATGCAAACTTCACCAGGGCCTCGCGGAACTTCTCGGGCTCCTCCTCCTGCTCCGCCAGCCGGCTGCTGGTCTCCTCAGCGATCAGGGCCTATGGGAGAGACAAAGACCTTATCCAGGGCAGGGACAGGCACCTGAGGAATCTGCGCTGTTCCACGGCACGCTCACCTGCCGTCACACACGAGAGAAGCGAGCGGGGCCATGCATGCTCCAGGCAGCCTCCTCCCAGCCCTGCTTCTTCAGGTACTTCACCTTTGCAGCATCAAGGACCAGAATTTGTCACCACAAAATATGCCACTCTGGCATAAGGATTTTGAGCTGAACACAACTGAGAAACAGAAGACACCAAAAAGATTCCGTCTTCCCCGTCTGCCTCCGTCTCCAGGGAGTGTCCTCACAGCACTAGTACAGTGAGCTGGTTATGCGGTGCGCAGAGGTGCAGTCAGCGTAGCCCTGGCTGCTCGGCTGGGCACAGGCACACAGCACGTGCGCCGAGCTAACCCAGGGAAGGTAAGGGTCTCTTCTGCAGCGCCTGCCGTGTCACCAGACCTGCTGATGCACACCTGCAATCCCAGCCTGTGGGGGGCTGAGGCAGGAGGATCACCCCAAGAACGGCAGAGTTCAAGGCCACCGTGAGCTACACAGCAAGATCCTGTCTCATAAAAAAAAGAACCTAAGTCAGTGGGCAGGCCTCCCTACCTCAGAGTAGACTTCCCAGGGACACCAGAAACACAAAATAACTGGCTCCTTCAACTTCTTTGCAATGAACTTCTCCTGCATTCTGCCTCTTCACGCACGAGTGGGGCAGACACGACAATTTGGATCTCCACTTGGAATTCCCTTCTCGAAAGAGGAGCTACTTCTCTCTTTGCTTCCAATAAGTGCTCTAACTTCCCTCTTTTGCCCACGACTTCACTCTCTGGCTTTGTGCAGCTAAGAGCTTGGTTTGTACAGAAGTAACTATGTCACTTGGAAGAGGACATTTGTAGGGACCTGCTGGTCTCAGTCGGATCGGTTCTACCCAAGGAGAAATGGCAGAGGAATGAGAAGATAGACAAGAAGACAAAAGCTGGGCTAGGTGGTCGCTGGTCTGCCTAGTAGGCGAGATGCATGCAACTCCACAAGACCAATTTTTATTTATACCTTTGCAAAGTTAGTAACATGTGACACAATGTTGCCTAGCAACTAACAGCTGACCTTAACCAGATAGGATGTCTATCTCAGGACTGAGGGAGGTAGCTTGTTTGCTTTAGGCACTGAGGCCTAGTCTTGCCTACACACATTTGATCAATTTTCTAGCTTCTGAGGCTCCCAACAGACATTCAATTTCCTTTTTTAAATGGTGGTGGTAAGACCTGAACTCAGAGCCTTACACACATGAGGCAAGTGCTCCACCACTGGGCCACATCCCCAGCCCAGGACTGGACTCCTTCCTCATCACAGGAACGACACAACAAGGAATTCATTTAATAAGCCTTATGAAAGCAGCCCTAAGCTCTTAGTACTTTCCCCGAGCCCCTACTCTTCCCTCCGCCTGTGATCCCAAAAGCCTGCACCCCTTTTCCTCCGGTACATCCCCCCTCTGCAAACTTGCTGTTCTTTCAAAAACCCTAAGAAAGGCCACACTGTAGCGACCCTTTAAGCGCATTCCTGCGGCATCTCTGTGCATGCATCCTGCACGCGTCCGTCTTTTTCTTGCTAATCTCCCTTCCGGCAGGCTGACTTCCAGGGTTGCAGCCCCAGAACCCAGAAGGATAGCAGAAAAGCTTGCTTCTCCTCTAGAGGCATTTCTGTAGCCTTTGCTGACAAAATAAATCTCTTCCCCCAGTTAAGAGAAGCACCTAGATCAAAAAGCCACAGTGATCTACACATGACAGGGAAGATGTGCCGAGTGTGATGGGGAGGGCCAGTGCTGTGGCCAACCCCTGATGCCACAAGCTGAGCGTACTCGGTGGGACCCAGATGCAGGGTGGCGCAAGAGCTGGACACACTGCCCATCTGGCCAGGTCCACCTTGACCCTGCAGGCCCAGAGGACGCAGCCACATTGCCGGGCCAGCTGGACAGAGATGGCCTGTGTGTCCCCCAATCCCGTAAGTGTCCCCAATCCCCAGAAAACAGCACTTCCCCTGCATTCCTCTGAACTCCAAGGTTTGCTCTCAAACCCCTCACCAAAACCCTAACATATGAGGTGTCAGAAGGCCAAGCTTAGGTAGAACAGCAAGATCCCAAGGTCTGAGGTGTTCTACCCAAGGCAGGAAAAACACCTCTAGGCTAAGGAGATCAAGTGTCTACGAAGAGCTACATTCAAGTGAGAGGCTGCCTCTCTGTTTTAAAGCAGAGTACCCCACCCATTATGTAAGACAAGACCTCACAGGCGGTACCAACAGACACTTTTCCAAATCATCCTCTCTGCCTTCTCAAAACTTCACTGGCTTTAATTTCATTTAATGAACATATTTTAAGAGTAAACATTCATGGGACTGGGGAGATAGCTCAGTGGCCTAAGTGCCTGCGTGGCAAACGCAAGCACCAGCATTCAATCCCTGCCACCACGTACGGTGCCAGCCCTGGAACGCCAGGCACACTGTGCAGGCCACCGAAACCAGGCATAGTGGTACACTATAATCCCAGGCTGAGACAGGAGGATCACTACCAGTCTCAATTGTATAGTGAGACCCCATCTCTCTCTCTCTCTCTCTCTCTCTCTCTCTCTCTCTCTCTCTCTCTCTCTTACACACACACACACACACACACACACACACACACACACACACGTAAACAACTAGCAGGAGGAAAGTGCTAGGCCAATAAAATGAGGACAGTATGTCACAGCTGCAAAAAAAAAAGAAAAAAAAATGGGAATAACTAACTTAAGGAGTCAAATAACATGCTGTTCTGCACAAACAGAAATCCCAACCTCCCCCCCCACCCCACATACACACCAAGGCAAACAAAGGGTCTGCAGGTCTCTAAAAGATTACAGAAACTGGAACTAAGAACAAAGGCTTTTTGGTCATACTTTCCGGCATGTTTTCTGCACTGGACTCCGAAGCCTGACAGGTGACAAGGTGAACTCATCTGCCTTCATGCAGTCAGCTAAAACGTGGAGTCCGAGGGGAGAAAGCTCGTGACACTGCACTGCTCGAGGTGTCCTAAGGAGGTCACCAGGAAAAGAAATGTGGAAATGTTGCTTGCAATTAAGAGACCCACCTTGACTTTTCCTTTGACAAAGCTGGCAATGTCATCTTTATTGTCAAAGACGGACAGAGTATGGAGGAGGTTCTGCTCCAACCAGTCCCAGTGCTGGTTTATTTCCTCTAATGTCGCACCTGAATTAGGACAGAAAGATGCTGAGATTAAAAACTAAACGTGACCAGGTACCAAAAGTAATTCCTACCCTCTGTTTATGCTACTCAGCCACCGGGCTGGATGCTGCAACTATTCCTGTCAGTTCATCATGATCCGGTTCAGTCATTTCACAAGCGAGGCTGCAAGAGGCACACTGCCCACCACGACAGTTTTCACCATATACTGAAAGAGAACTGCATTACAAATTTTAAAACAAGGGGCCGGGGAGATGGCTCAGTCGAATAAGTGTTTCCCTGGCAAGCGCAAGGGCCTGAGTTCAATCCCTGGTTCCACCACCCCCACCCCCGCCAAAAAAATCTTAAAACAGTAAATCAAGAAGGAGTAGAAAAAAATATTACAAAAGGCATACATACAAAGGGATCAAGGGAAAGAACAGTAAACTTTCTCAGTTAGCTAAATGTATCTTGAAGTTTATTACACAAGGCTTAACTTGTTAGCTAAGAAACCTCCATAGAGGTTCACACCCAGACAATTACTTGGCCCCAAAAAGCAGGTCTGGCACACAGTAGCCATTCTGCAGAGCCACTAGGCCATCAAGGAAAGGCAGGTATGCACTGAGCAGATCCCAGCCAGCATTCCAAATTCCTGGGGCAGAGGGAATTATTTTTTCTAGGTGGTGGGGGGTGCGCCGGGGTCCACGTTCCCTCAAACGATTTTCCCTTCTCTCTATTCCTGCATCCCTCCTTGCCCCACAGGGTAGATTTATTCACCTGACAATCCTGTCACTACAGCGCTAGCATCCCTACTCCAAAATCCAAAATGTTCTAAACTCTGAACTGGAAAACACTTGTATAGAATCAGGTTCAGGCTGTACGGACAAGGTGCATATGAAACACACCCATGAATGAATTTAGTATTTTAGAAGTGGGTGCCGTCCCCAAAATAGTACATATATATGCAAAGATCCCATAACATAGGAAAATTCAAAACACTTCCCATGTAGATAAGGGATATGCAGGAGTCATGGGGACAGGATACTCAACCTGTACTCTATGAAGAAAGTGCCTGATGCCCCACTCTGGTGGGGATATCCACGCAGGTGGAGTCTGAAAGGATAAAGGACACCTGTATCAGGACAGCTGTTCTGAGTGGACAGTTTGGGAAAGCAAAAAAGTGAAAAAAATATTTGGGGAGAAAAATGAGAATGAAAACGACAGTACTTAAATTCCCATATCTTCCAATTTGTAGTCACAGCTGTGTTCACAGCAATGTCCTCAGTCACCACTATCATATCTTCTGGCCAGGGTGGGAAGGCAGCCCCATGGTGCTCTCTGGCCAGTGCCTCTATCCACAGGTCTGGAACCCCCCCACTCCCCACATCTCCCTTCCCCTGCCTTGCTCCCTAAGGGTTCAGAAGCCCAATAAACAGGCACCTGGGTTCACAAGGGGCAAACTCAGGGTGAGTGGCCTTGAGCCTCTTGCTTTCTACTTCCTTCTCCTCTCAGAGGCTCCTGTGGTGTCCAGAATCCCCTGGCCCTTTAGGCTCCCCACATCTCTGAGGACAAGGAAAGCTTCCGGTAGGAGGAAGGGACAGTACTAAGAATCGAGCCTGGGGCCATACTGAGCTGCAGCTCCAGCCCTCCTTTATTTTGAGATGGAATCTTGCTAAGTTGCTCAGGCTGGGCTTAAACTTGCCATCCTCCTGCCTCTGTCTCCTTGAGTGCTAGGACTGCATCTGCGGATCACCATGCCCAGCCAAAGGAAGCCTTTTTAGAACAAAATGAAGCCAGGCATAGTGACACATGCCTGTATAAGCAGCACAGAGAAAGCTGAGGCAGGAGGAGTACAAGTTTGAGTCCCACTTGGGAGACTTAACTAGATCCCGTCTCAAAATGAAAACTACAAAGGTCTAGGGGTGCAGCCCTGTGGTAGATTGGGGTTGGGTCCCCAGTACCAACCAACAAAGCCAAGCAATTCCGGTTTCCACCCACAACTCTCTTCAGGCTTCTAAGCCTTGCTTGGCCTGAGCCTACCTCCTAAAGTACCGTGACAGCTGGCCAGCTGACGCGGCTTAGTTGACATCTGGTCACCTGCCTTTGCTCAGGTAGTGCTGCCCCCCTGGGGGCCATGGATGGCAGCTTGTGTCAGTCACAAAAATACCCCTAAACCATGAAGGGGTGGGTACCAAGAAGGTCATGCATCATATCAGAGCCCACACCTGGCTCCACAGAAGTGGAGGACCACGTGCAGGCCTGGGTGGAAGGCTTGCTCCCTGAGGCCTCCGTGGCCTTCTCTCTGTAGGTCTTTCTGTCTTTCCTCAGCACCACAATAAAACCACTGCGTTGGGGCACGGAACACACAAGGGACACCGCACAGGGGCCTCTTTGTGGACCTCCCGTCACCTGTGCTGCGCTCTTACAATCCCCGCTTATCAAAAACAAAGTCAGAAGAGTGGGAAGAGAACAAGAGGGCAGAGGCCTCACCTCTGTGGCTCATGCCTGCTCCCAGCACTGTCGCACTGCTCTGTCACCAAGACTGAGGGAGGCTCAGATAGCTGCCCAAGGTCATATCCAAGAAGGGCAAACCTTTTAGTAAAGCCCCCAAGACTGTGCAGTGCCCCCAGGGCCCCTGCCATTTTAATATTGATGAACCGTTTGCATAACCCTTGGGCCCAGGATCTTAGGGACACTAAATTTCTCTGCGCTTGCATTCAGAGGGTGCCCAGTCCGCCCCTGCAACCCTAAATGATGACACAGGTCGTCACTGTCCTTCCAGGGAGGCGCACGGCCATGAACACAGCTACTTCCTGAAGCAGGGAGGCTTCAGCTGACAGCTGTGGACAACAGCATAAAATCACATCCCGATGGCAGGGCACGAGGAGGACTGGAACCAGACACCAGAGACCCAGACTTCTACCCTGAAGAGCAGTTCTGTCCACTGGGAAGGATCTTATGATAAGGAGAGAGAATTTGATAGCAAACCAAGCCCACACCTCCGGAGAGAAAAATAAACACACTAAATCTGCTGCTGCGCCAGGAGCGATCTTATTACACCCCCACACACCCCCTGATGTCAGACAAGCTGCGGCCTCTCCCAGCAGACAATCGATGTGATGAAACTTTTCCACCCTCCTGTCCACTTCCTACCAAAGCTGCCAAATGGCAGGGAAACTTTCCAAGCCATAATTTCCTCTGCAGGGAAATCTCATGATGGGCTTCCCAAATACCATAAATCAATGCAAGCAATGACACACGCGCGACCTCACAGGACTAAAAAGGAAAGTCATTCAATGTATGTCACACACTACAGTTCGGAGCCTACACTACAGCAGTTCTTCAAACTGCGTGAAGTCATGCGTCTGAAAATAGCTCTAAGGAAAGATAAAATCGAGTCAAAAGTAGAGCCCACGCCTGCTGGGAAGCGACTGGACTGTGAATCCTCTTTTCATTATGCACGTTCTCGAAAGCATGTTGTTTGTCTGGCACTGCAGACAGAGACGTGCTAAGAGAGCGAGACGCTGCCATCTACGGCAGAGACAGGATGATGAAGGGGGTACAAATTTATTCAGCGCTGCAGCAGGATTTCTCGCCCTGCTGCAGCCCTGCCAAACCCAGACAGCAGGCAGGGAACCGTGTTAGGGTCCGAAGCTAGTGTCCAGAATTCCCATGTGGAAGCCCTGGCCCTCAAGGGGACCGTGGAGAAGAAGGGACTCCAAGTTCCCTCCCTGGAGGAGACCAGAGATGGGCACACCCGAGGAAAAGCCAGGTGAGCACACTAGACGGGGACCTTGGACTTGCAGTCTCCAGAGCCCTTGGAAGACGAATTTCTCTCACTGAAGGCCCGCAGCCACGCGGCACCTGAGGGTGTCTCCAGCCAGAAGTGACAGCAGCACTGCGGGTGATCACAGAAGTGCACGTAGCAAAACGACGGTGTTTTATGAAGGCCTCTAGTTCTGCAGGAACACTTTTCCACTTTCTAAGAAAATGAAAGCTTGGGTGAAAAAATCAGATTTATAGACAGAAACCACAAAGTAAACACCACTGATGATTTATGAGTAACCAGTTCTAACATGGAACAGCCAGAAGTGGCCAACTGAGGACATTTTCTGAATGTCTGGCATGTCCCAGGCAAGCCATACTCTTAACAGGGAGCCAAGCGTTGAGGCACACGCCTATCATGCCAGCACTTGGGAGGCTGAAGCAGGAGGACTGCTAGGTTCTCAAGAAGCCAGCCTGGGTGACGTAGTAAATTCAAGGAACACAGCAAGTTCAAGGAACTACACAAAGCAGACATTAATATTACCATTTTCTGGGCAAGAAGTAAAAATATTATGCAAAGAAAGAGCCAACCCCTGCCCCCAAAAAAGAAAGAGCCAACCCAGAGCGCGGCACAGGACTGGGACTGGCTGGACCGTGACGTCAGCAGGGCCAGGAGGGCCCAGCAGCTGAGTCACAGCAGAACACGGCACCGCACTCATCCCCAGAGATTTTTCCCCGGGGTGTTTCCAGGAAGTGAAACAATCACCTCAGTGTCTGCGCCGGCAGCTTCTGCACGGATCAGCCATGAGAACCGCATCCAAACACAGCCGAGCGCTCCACCAGTCCCTCTGCCTAATCAGCACCGCCCCAGACTGGGTGCCTCTCCCAGCCAGCCAGCCAGGTTTAGCATGAGGGGGGCCTGCAGGTGCGTGGCGCGGGGCAGACCTTGGCGACGGCAGCGCACTGCCTACTGGCCCAGCACTGGCGTCCACCATCCGAAAGCCCTGCAGACAAAGGGGCAGGCTGGACCCGGCCACTGGCACAGCAGCACTGCTCCCGTCATTCGCCACTGTGCAGAGAACCTCAGGAACAGGCGTCCACAGGACCCCGGCAAGAGAGGCAGGGAAAGAAGGGTTTGTTTTCAGAAATCTTATAGGCCGCTTAGAACATCTCTTTTTACACCACTGTCTTTGCCTTTTTTGTCTTCAAAGAAAATCAGTCTCCACATATTTACAATACATGAAATCAGACAAACTCGACCT